TATTATATAATGCATATTAGTATATGTAATATAATTGATATTATCAATTATACTATTAATTATACATGTTTACTAATAGAAATTATTAATTAGTTATACTAAATTTACTAATACATTTATGCTGATACATTTAATTAGTGAAAATTTCTTATATCCTATTTCGAAAGAACCAACGAACCAAATATTAACTATAGTAATTATATACATTTCTGGTACTGAACCAAACAGATGTATTGGAATGACTGAATCTATTTCAAACCCAGAATGAATGATCCCAAATCCGAGTTCGATTCCAAGTTGTGAACCAAGTGTCATCATCACAAGTGCTTCCAACTCTTTCTTGAGTAGTACTGTTGTTTTCCTTTTGTAACCACCGACTTCTTAATCATTACTGCCTCCGGAAAATAAAAAAGGTGTGTTTATGTATTATATTGCTTTGTAATGTTTTAAAATTTGGACGGGGAGTAAATCGGAAGAGTTTCTAGTTTGCAATTTGACTTGTTCAACCTGGATTCAATGATTTAATCTTTTTCTATTTATTTCAGTATTAAAAATTCTGAATAAACTAAATATTTTTGTTAAAGGTACAACATAAAAGTGAATCTGGTTGCTCTCGGTTTCTACTGGTATAATCAGTTCTTGACCTAGTTTTATGGGTTAAATTGAATTTCTGGATTAACTATTGAACCAAACCGATAACGTGGCCGATTCGTGATTCGACTGGTCAAACAAATTCGGTCTAGCTTTCAAAACCCTGTTTCTTTGTGTTCACAATATTTGGCTCAAGAAAATAAAACATTGCTAGAAAAGTGTTTCACAAAACCAATGGGAGTCCCCCTTCTATATTCTGTGATGGCACAAAATCGAACAAATGTCCCATGCAGAATTTACCTTATCCTTTCTTTAACAAAACATCAGGTTCATCATTATATGTTCTTGTGGGAATGGGCAAATAGACATCTTATAAATTCTAAAACCCCTCAATCTACAAACTTTATTCTAATTAATTTCCCCTCACTTTCTATTGCTCACTACCCTAGAGACCTAATGAGATTTAGGTTCCTCATGTTTTTATAGGAAGTCTCTACAAGTGTGTAATCTGTCTCAAACCGATTGAGACATGCTTTACTATCAACAAATGATGAGAGATATACATGACAAATCCTTATAGGATACAGACTTATATTAGCATGATTCGCACGAGTATCCACTACAAGAAAATTGGTTAGCATTGACAATATTTGTCAGTGCCGAAACGAATGTTATCACAGAAGGAGGTGCTTTACTCGTGATTTTATATTCGTCACATGCATCTCATAGGAGCCAATTATATAGGTGACGACTTGATTATGTCGTCTCAAGTGTAACCCTGCCAACAGATCTCGAATGTGCGGAGTGTTTGAAGTATACAATAATGACGACTCAGTGAATGCTATCATTATTGTTGGTTCTTGTTTACTGAAGACTTTCACTTGTTGTCACTGATCTTTGTTTAGTGACAATATATGGTTGTCATTATAACTGTGAATAGCCTTAGTGATAATCGGTTGTCATCACTCAATTGTCTTCAATTTTTTTACAACTACTTGCAATATATTATTATTAGTACTAGATTGTTTTTAATGACACTATTTGATTACCATATAATTTAAGAACATTATTTTCAGTTATAAGATGTACTTTGGTTTTGCAATTATGAGAAATTGGTATAAAATTTTAGCACCTGTAAGAACTATTAGAAATTTAATATAAGTAGATTTTCACTTATATGAATTTAACAAATTTTGCCACCTATGATGGAAATTTTTGTTTTTGTGTTTAAAAAATAAGGAAGAATACTGCCAATGATGGAGCCAAGGGGGGCTGAGGGGGGCCATGGCCCCCCCTAAGTTTTGAAATTTTTAATTCATAGTATGTAAATATATGTATAAGACAAAGTTGGCCCCTCTAATTTTTTACAATTTTAGTTTATATTATGAGAGTTTATATATGTGTGTGTGTGTGTGTGTATGAATTAGCCACCTTTGATTTAATTTTTTCTTCAAAAAAAGTTATTTATTTTTTTATTGTGCTAATTATTTAACATTCAAAAAATTAAACATATAATTTCATGATCCATAGTAAATTGACCCAATTTGATATATTATAATAAAAGACTCAATTCATAATTATGAATGGGCTAAAATAAAAATAATTACTTTATTGGTCCATATACAAATATACAACTTAGCCTAATTGATAAAAAATTTAAAATTAGTGATCCATCCTCTTATTGACCCATATACAAATATACAAATAATTACTTGAAGGCTTGGTGAAGACAAGAAATTGAGTCATCTATCATGTTGTTGACAGATTGATTATATTTGTTTTCACTCTTCATGTATCAACTACAACTATAGAACAGACATTTTCAATTATAAATATAATCAAAACAAAACTGCAAAACAAGATAAAAGATAATTTCTTGAATGATTGTCTAACAATATACATCAAAAAGGGAAGTTGTTCAAAAATTTAGCACTGATTCAATTATAGATGAATTTAGTTATATGAAATAATGTAAAATTCAATTTACTTTTAAGAAAAGAGGTTGAAATTTCAAGGCGTGCGAACATAACTTTTATCTTTTTTTAATTGAAAATAGTTATATTTATACTGCATAGTTATATTTTTGTTTTTGCACAAGTGACGTATTGGATCATCTTCTCATAATGTACAATTTGGATAGTTTGTAATGTTATAAGATATTTAATCAAAGATTATTTCTTGTTCTAATTTTTGTTATGATTATGCTGCATATTTATGAAATAGACATACCTTTATAATTAAATTTAATATTTGATATTTTAAGATGTCATATATTTAAATCGATGAAAATTATTTTGAATATAACATATTAAGATAATTTTATCCAAAAAATTTTGGCCCCCCTCCCAAGGAAAAAATCCGAGCTTCGTTCTATAGTCTATAGAATGGACATTTTCAATTATGAAAATAATCAAAACAAAACTCCAAAACAAGATAAAAGATAATTTCTTGAATGATTGTCTAACAATGCACATAAAAAAAGGAAGTTGTTCGAAAATTTACCATTGATTCAATTATAAATGAATTTAGTTCTATAAAAGAACGTAAAGCTCAATTTACGTTTAATAAAAGAGGATGAAATTTCAAAACATGTTAACATAATTTTTATCTCTTTTTAATTGAAAATAGTTATATTTATATTGCATAGTTATATTTTTGTTTTTGCACAAGTGACATATTGGAGCATCTTATCATAATGTGCAACTTAGGTGGTTTATGATGTTATAAGATATTTAATCAAAGGTTATTTCTTGTCTTAATTTTAGTTATGACTATGCTACATATTTATGAAATAGACATATCTTTATAATTAAAGTTAATATTTGATATTTTAAGATGCCATATATTTAAATAGATGAAAATTATTTTGAACATAACATATTAAAATAATTTTGTTCGAAAAAATTTTGGCCCCAAAAAAAAACAAATCCTGGCTTCGTCACTGAATACTGCAACAGTAAAATCTATGCTTCAAACAAAACTAAAAACAAAAAATATTGCAAAATTTTTGTCTCAAATGGGGGGAAATTAGTGAGGTCAAAATTTTGATCAAATCAAAGGTAAAATGGAAGTGGTGCAATTGAAGTTCAAAACAAAACATCGAAAGAAAGCTGTCTGCTCACCGTTTGGATTAGTTGTTTTTGGAAATGTTTTTGAAATATTTTACTATAATAATGTAGGTAAAAAATTTTTACTGTAGGTGTTTTTGAGGTGTTTTTGGAAATATATTTTTGGGTGGGGTTATTTTTAAAATTAAAATTTTAATAAAATATTTTTAAATTTTTATAAAATCTTACAATCACCCACCACTGCCCCACCTCTCCCATCCCCTCCTCCCTCCTCCCCACCCACTTCTACCACCCCTTCCCTCTCTTTGGTTGCAAGTCGCGGCCAGAGAGAGGGAGAAAGGGAAGGGGGTAGCTGGAGAGACGTGGGGAGGGAGTAGGGAGAAGAGGATGAGGGAGAAGAGGGGGAAGGGGCGGCGAGTGGTGGTGTGTTTTTGGTGGTTGGTGGTGGTGTATGTGTTTTTTTTTTGTATATTTGAAATTTTTTTTGATATTTTGTATGGATGTGATATTTTGGAGTTGTTTTTTTTGTGCATTACAGTATTGTACATAAAAAACTTGTTTTCAAAAATCTCGACTCTGTTTGGATTGTTCAATTTTTGAAAAACAAGTTTTTCATACATAAATGTTACAGTAATACACAAACAAAAATAATTCCAAAAACATCACATCCAGGCAATATATCAAAAACAATTTCAAATATACAAAAAAAAAAAAAACACCATCACTATCACCCATCACTTTCTACCACCACCACCGCCGCCATTACCCTCACACCCACGACCTTTTCTCCTCTCTCTCTCCCCCCATCTTTCCTCGCTCTCTCCTTCTCCTCCTCCTTTCTTCCTCCTTCTCTCTCTCCTTCTCCTTCCTCCATTCTCCTTTTCTTTTCCAAGCCCCCCAATTCCCTCTCCCTTCCATTGATTGCAACCTTCCTAGCTACGACCAAATCTGATCGCGCGCAGAAAGGTCGCAATTTTTCTAATAGCGACCAAGAAGAACACGGCTGGAGTGGTGGTTAGAGTCACAGCCATCACCCGTGAGTGAGAAAAGAGTTTGGAATTGAGGGGAAAGAAATGGAGGAGAAAGAAGGAAAAGGAAAGAGGGAGGATTGAGGAGAAAGAGGAGGGAGAGGAAAGAGGCGGGAGAAGGAGAAGAAGAGAAAGAAGAGATGGGAAAGGAGGAAGGAGGAGGTGTGGATGGGTGGTATAAAATAAAAAAAAAATTCAAAAAAAGTTATAAATTATAAAAATATTTTAAAATATATTTTAAAAATATTTCTAAAAATAATTCAAAAAATATCTATAATAAATATTTTTAATATAAACCGTTACAAAAGTCTTTGAAAAACAACTAAAAAACAGCTAATCTAATCAGAGCGAAGGAAATCACTCTCATAAGAAAACCAACACCCTCTCTCCGAGTCTCTCCGACTCTTTCCCTCTCACTCTCTCACCTCTACCCATCACTTTCCAGTGGCTGTCCGGTGTTGAAGGGCCCGTGTTTTGTCCAAGTGACAAAAGGTTGGTTTTTTCTCTCTCCTATTTTCCCTAAAATTTTCCAAATAATTCTGGCCTAATCTTTCTCTTTTTATTTTCTGAAAATTTCTGCCCAAATTCTTTTTGGATCTCTTGAGTATTAGATGCTATCGCCTCTGTGTGGTTATTTACGTGATCAATTTTTCCGATCACAAAGTTTTTGTGCTCTAATTTTAATTTAGCTGGAAGCTTTTGGCCAATTGTCTTGGCTCCGCTGTATTTTGTAGGGGATAAATTTGAGTTGTTTTCTGTCAAAGGTACTAGCTAGTGCTAATTTAGTACTACAAGCTAGCGTATTTCTCTTCCTTTTTAATTACTAGAGACTGATGAAAAAAAAAATGATTAGTACGGGTCTAGAATTGCTTTGGATATATATTTATATGTTCTTATCCTTTATTAGAGGTTCGTTGTTTGTCATATTCAAGCATCAAAGTTAAAAGTTTAAGTAGCTAGGTATTACGCAGGAGCTTTGTTCATATATGAAGTTGAGTTGTTTCCTGTGTTGTATAAGCTTCCTCCAAAAGATGTCTTCTTTTATAACAAAAGAAATTTTAGACAGCAAGCTTGTGCTTGTACTCTCTGCCTTCAATTTTTGTATTTGTTTTCTCTTCTATATAGTTTCACCATTACTCAGATTGAAGCATAGGATTTGGACATATGATCAAGATGCCAGCCTGGGATAACAACCAAGACAACTTTTTCACTCCCCTCCAAGAGGAAATGGGTTCTTTTGATTTGCTTTAAGGAACAATAGTGAACAAGTATAATCAATTTGATTTTGCAGAGAACAAAGTATAGGTATGAGTAAAGTAATAGCACAACAGATTCAATTTCGTCAAAAAACGGATGTCAAGCATGAGCTGGAAGTAAATTTGAAATCTTTTGCTAAATTCAGAATCCCATTTATCAACTGTTAAAAACCACCAGAAAACTTACTCTCGGCAAATGCAAATAAAATAGGAAAAGTTTCCTCTTTTAGCTCCCCATTTGCAAAATCAACTGCATGCCACACACATGTCATTAATAAAGTTTTGGGGTGGCTTCTGTCCCCGTATATGGGGTTAGCCATTAGAAAAAAAAAAAAATAAAGAGTTGTTTCCTGTCAAGGGTAGTAGCTAGTGCTAATTTAGTACTATAAGCTACTCTATTTCTCTTCCTTTTTCATTACTAGAGACTGATGAAGAAAAATGATTAGTACTGGTCTAGAACAGCTTTGGGTACATATTTATATGTTTTTATCCTTTCTTAGAGGTTCGTTGTTTATCACATTCAAACATCAAAGTTAAAAGTCCAAGCAGCTAGGTACCATGCAGGAGTTTTGTTCATACACACACACACACACACACATACCTCTTCAAGTGCATGTTTTTTGCTTTCTGGGAAGCAACCTATTAGATTATTCCATCCTTTCTTGCTCCTATTTCCCTTATTTTGTAAATGTTGCTGAATGCAAAGAATCTGTATACAACATGGTCATGCAGTTGTGTTTGTATACTAATTCAATGAGCTAAGTTGAGAAAATGGACATGATGAGGCCATGAATGCAGTTGTGTTTTATATACTTAGTGAGGCCATGCGCTAGTCAAGACTTAAAAGTGTTGTGAGGGCAAAAGAGTAGTGATAGTCATCTAGCCAATTAAGCTCCTTTTGCTGATACAAAGCACAGCAGCTATGAGAATACATGTTGTATTCAGTAGATTTTCATTCTAGTTATCAATTGGAGCTTTCTTTTGCATATTTTGTAATTGCACATAAATTGTCCCTTTTTTCTGTATTCCTGCCTTGTAATGATTTTACTGTGTAATTTCTCCTCAACAGATTCATGTGTTATTATTTGCAGCAATTGCAACTCTTTCACATGAGCTTGGAATTCCTACTAGAACCTTGGCAGTCTTCCAAGTTCAAGTTGCACTTTTTCTTACTGGTAACCTTATATGCAAAGGCTTGAGAGCCAACGAGCTGAAATGCAGAACCAATAGATTGAAATGCAAGAACTCCTTAAGGCTTGAAGAGCAAAAATGCAGTTTAAGAAGCAAGGCAGTGAAAATACATCTGGCGATAATAACTAGTAAAGAATCGTTCTTATACAGCTAATTGAATTAGAATGCTACAGATACCTATTATTTTTCATGGTTACATTGTTGTGGCTGTGGATTAGTTTAGTTCAATTTTATCAGCTGATGGCTTTAATTTGCTTAAGCTTGATAGCAATTCTTAATTCTGGGCTCATTTTGTTCATTAAATTGGTTTAATTTACTTTAGTTTTATTAGCTGTTGCTTGTACTTTGAGCATATATATACTGCCTTTGATATTAATGAGTTCCTAATGCCAATTGAAAGATTTTTAGCATCCTAAAATTGTTTGAGTTTTCTACCACTACTGGCTGTTATTTAAGTTTAATAGCAGTACTTATATCTGGGGCTGATTTTGTGCATTAGTTTGGGCGTGATTTTAATTTTCTGGGGCTGCTTCTACTTTGAGAATGTATGTATAGCCTTTAGAATTAGGTTCTCTTTGGATTGCATTTTTTTATCTAAGCAACCTAATCAAAGTTACTTCTCCTTTAGTGTTGTGCTCGTCTCCTTATCTACTTGTTTTATTACTTTATGACAGACAAATGTTGGTCATCCAAACTTTTGGAAGATAGAGTCTATTGCTATGACTGAAGGACATTGAAGACAAAGTTGCCTTTGATCATGCAACGGTTCACTTCGTTCTTTGGTTTCTTGAACTCAGATTCCTTTTGTAAAGGTACCTTATGTAGATGTGATACTTGGACACAATGTTACTTTTGTAGACATTTGTTGGTTAATGTACACTTAGAGGACGAGAATGAGAGAGATCAGTGAGGAAAAGAAAAGGAGATGAATTGGATAATGTGAAGAAAAAGAGTAGAAAAGAGACTAGGAAATGAGAAAAGGGAGAAAGATTGTGAAGGGAGAAGAAGAATAGAGTCCTGGGAAGTCAAGAAAGGGAGAGAAAGAGACTGGAAAGTGTAGAAGAGAGAGAAAGAGAAAGGAAGATGGAAGACACAAAACCGAATAGATTTTTTTTTTATATAATTTTTTTTACAAAAGTTAGGGTAAATGAGTTTCAACATCCTCAAATGAGTGGAAAATCATTAAACTTAAGGTAAATTACACACCATCCCTGTACTTTAGCGCTTTTTACATATAACACTCTTTTGATTTAAAAGTTCTACATAACTCTCACATAGTCTAAATTAAAATGTCAAAGCGTCGGAACTTGCTTTCTGTAATAGAGCCCAAAAATATAAAAAATACCACAATATCAAGATGAAAATTAGTTGATAACCATATGGGTGTTATACATGGATTTTGACATAGGGGGCTAAATTGTAATACATGTTCGATATATGTACACATGCACAGACATCTATATATACATGTTCCACACACACACACACACACACATATATATTCCACATATATATAGGCCTCATTCACTCACTAGTATTTGAGAAATTCTTACGATTGCTTTTACAGAACTTCCTTGTATCATCAAAGCGTCACCATTAATACAACATCAACATTATTGATTTCAAATTCAGAGCAATGTGAATGCCTATTGTCCCTTCTTCAAATTCAACTAATTTGCCCGCCATTACTTCATCATGACCATGAACACGAGCAATGCCATTGCCTACTTGAAGCATGGTACCACTTCTATGTATATACATACATACATACAAACATATATGGCCCTGTTTGGAACCATGTTTTTTTAGGAAGTTTGTTTGCTACTAGTTTTTTAACAACTTTTGCTACAGGAACCCCAAAAAACTTGTAAATAACTTTGGAGGTTGTCTGAAACTTTAATGAAACTACGTCGTTTTGGCCTCAAAAACTTGTGTTTTTTTCCCCGTCTTCATCAGCTCGTTGCACAGAAGGCAAGCTTCCCCGGTTGCTGAACTGCAGGAGAACACCAAGCTAATTCTTCCCGTCCGTAGGCTGATAAACCCAAAGAGAAGCGGCGCACGAGGTTGGTTGGACACTCCTCTACTGGTGTAGCAGTCTCGCAGCCATCGGAGCTTTGTCCACCGAAGGTTCAGCATTTTCCTCATTTGGTACTTGCTGAAGTCCGGCAAAGCCTATGGTAGCTGATAGTCGTGTCGTCCACCACGGTGAGCTCTGCAACAGCTGCCCTTGTCCGCCCGCTACAAAAGCCCTCTACTTTCAGGTGCTTAACTACCAGAACTGTTAAGAGATTAGCTCGGCTGCTTGCTTATTTATTTATTTATTTATTTTTTGAAGCAGCAGATTGCTAAAATGACTGAGCAGTCGCTGTATAGTAGATTCCTTTCCATTTGCTTCATTTTTTTTGTTAATTGGTGGGATTGTTGCTAATTTTATGGCCTTTGCGGTACATTTGTTCTCTTTCTGATCTGAGTATGGTACAACTTTTCTGAGATTCACCTACTTGTGAAAAATTTCAGAAAGAGCTGAGAGAACTCTGTGTGTTTTTATGTGTAAAAATGTCCTACTAGTGAGATCTTAAACTTAATTGAGGCTGTTTAATGGAAATTATCAGTTATGACTAGGGATTTAGTATGAATTATGAAGACAAAATAGTTCCGGTTTGGCCATGATTAGTTGTTAGTCCTGATTACTTGAGTTTTTTCTGTTTATTGGATGAACCATTATGGAGGCTTGTAATGGAAAAAACAAAAAAGGAAATCTGGTATTTTAGTTAAGAATATCTGTTGGTTTAGAGTGGTTGAATGGCCATTTTTTCCCTGTAAGAGCATTTTCCATTTCAGCCATTCATTTCTAGCTTTGGGAAGGAGTCATATGCTGCTGCATTTATGAAAAAGAGACTGATTTTGGAAGGAATTTGGTTGATCGTTAGATCATATTCCTCTTATTTTTATCTTTAAGTTCTGGACAAATTTGATTTTCTCCTCCGTTCACGTTATGATGATTGGCATTCAACTTCATATAAAAAAAAAACTTCTGGATTTTAAGTTAAAATTTGAACATTATCCTTCCTTTTTGAAAACTGCAGATGTTGATCATAGCTATTGATTTTAATGCCAAAGTATAAGCTGGGAAAAATACAGAGTTGTTACAAGGGCAATGTAACTTGTCAAGCCTCCTGCAAACTTGTTTTACACCTGTTTGGAGCAGTTTAATGTTCTTATGCTAATCTTATTTGTGGCAACATGTTCTCATTTCATTCCTGATTGCCTTAATGGTTTAAGAAGGTGTTAAAATTCTGAATTCATGTATTCTTTTGACTGCAAATAGCTATCTGGTTATGAGGGAGTCATTCGAACAAATCTTTCTAAGTGTTGTAGGAGCACACAAAAAAATTTTCAATTGAATTTTTTTTACTTATTGAGGCTTTGGTTTAATTAATCCATGAGTAGTAGTAATATTTTTCATGCCTTCATTTGATTTAGGTGAAATAGGGGGTTAGCGGAATTAGTTCAAATTCTATTGTTTGCTTTTTAATATTTTGAATGTGGAATTTCATTTCTTTCTTTAGCGTATTTTTCTGTTCTATTATAGAGTTAGGTAATTAAGCTGAATTCCAAAATTTGAGATATAGGCATACATTTTTTTGTTAATAGGTTTATGCCGCCGCGCACTAGATCCATTTCTAGAGGTTTGTTTTGTGGGTATATATTTTTTTCCTTGCATGTCGGACTGTTAAGAATTGTAAGGGCTAATTTTCACTTTCGCTCACAGTCGGAAAACTCATACTTCCTGATCCTGTTAGCACTGCTTGGTCCGAGTGTGGAGAGAACGACTTACAGCTTTGCATCACCAATTACTTCAAGGTATTATTGAATTCGTTTCTTTTTCCAACCCCGTCACTAATATATTGAATTAACTATTTTGTGTGTCCCGTATTCATGGCTGCCCTAGTTGTTCATTGGTAATATTTACATGTGATTCACCTGTATTACTTCCATATTGCTATATATGCATTGGGGCTATAGATGCCATTCAATTTCTGTTTAGCATCCTTAATGGCCAACTCGAGCTAATCTTATTTGTCCTACATAAAGTGTAAAAAACCAATGGCTGGTAAGGTTGGTTCATCAAGGCAAGGTCGAGCCCAATTTCCAATGGAGCGAGAGCTTGAATTTGCGGAGTACTTGGTTGAATTTAAACGGGCTAATAGAATGAACAAGGGCAGCTTAAAGAGTGAGGTCTTCCCGGCAATTGTTGATAAATTTGCCAAAAAAGGATGCCACTTTGATCCAACTCAAATCAAGGCGAAGTATTATGCATTACGCCATCTGACACAAGAATACAATCGCATGCGATTGAGGGTGACTGGGGCCGGATGGGATCCCCTCCTCCAGACTGTAATCATGGACGAAAGCAAATGGCAAGCTGTGATTAAGGTTGAAAATTAATTTTTTCTTTTGCATTACATAAGCGTATAAAGTGTAAAAAACTATTTTTTAACATCCTTTTATGTTCTTTTTGGTGTTAAATGTGTAGGAGAATCCATCCTTTAAGACTTACCACAACAAAGATTGCCGTGTCTTCTACATATTGTCGGAGGTGTTTGACAAAATGGATGCCCAAGGGCGATATGCAAGGGACTCAAACCAACCACCAGTTGACATCAATGACGAGATAAGAGCGAGGCAAAATCAAACGTGTGACAATATGGGTGGCCAGGGCACGGAGCACGTGAACCTGACTGATGATATGATCCCTCCTATGCAGTCAATTGGGAAATCGGATGCCAAACATTTGAAAGGCAAAGGCAAAGGGAAAAGGAAGACTCCGGAATCTTCATCCGCCAGAGACGGCGACCCCCCGCCTGGGCTAAGTCGCTCCTCCTACAATAATGTAATATCTTGGATGGATGCGACGTTTGCTTCCGATCGGAGCATGTCCCAGAGCGTAGATGCCCCACCTCCTCCACCTGTTGCTGCTCCAGCTCCTCCTCCTCCGATTTACATGGATGATGACCCTTACTCGGTGTTAAAGGCAGCTGAAGCCTTAACCAAAATAGAAGGCTTGTCGGATAAAGTATTTGTCACAGCAGCTTGCAAGTTGGCTGATTCCGCTGACCATCGGAGGATGTTTTTGAGTCAGAAGAGTGAGGCTAGGAAGCGGTTATATGCACTGAATATTGGGGGGGGGCACCTAGATGATTGAGACCTGCATGTGCCTAGGGGGTTAAGCACCAGTTGGAAGGTTTTGTTTGCATGTTTTAATGTAAAAGATTTCTATTTGTGATTGATGGCTGCTGGTTTTCCCTGTTGGGAAATGAATTTGCACTTTGTTTGTTTCATTATGTAGTTTGGATCATTTGTAGCCCTACCATAATGTTTCCCCATTTCAAATATTTGACTTTTCGAGTTGGCGAATAATAAATAGGAGTTCTACTTTGATATAAGAGTTGCTTCATTAATTCACATATTCCTAGCTTCGGGTTCATTTGGTGCTTATCCTTCACTTTTTTTCAAGGTGCAGGTGTTTTGTCCAAACAAAGCATAAATGGCTAGGGTTTCGTCCAATTTTGGAGTAAATTTAGATGACCCAAATGATGCAAGACAAGCTGCAATTGCTGTGTTAATACTATCGTGGCACTTTCAAACAAATCATGTTTCAAGGACAAGGCAACTAGTCCATACAAGTGTTATGTCAGGTCAGGGTTGGGTTGACGAGCTGTTGGAGGGAAAGTGCATTAGGATGCTTAACAACATGCACATGAATATGCCCACATTTGTTCAACTATGTCGGATATTGCGAGAAGGTGGATACATTACTGAGGGCCCCTGTGATAAAGTGACTTTAGAGAAAAGAGTAGCAATTCTTTTATATGGCGTGAGCCATGATTTGACATAAAGAGTGCGAGAAAGCTAATATGGGTGGCGGAAGTAATATGGATGAAGCTCATATGGATGGCGGAGGTACCGAGAGAGTTCAAATGTCATAATTCTACGTCACTTCAGAAGCACTCCATGATTGGAAGAAATTACGAAATGCAATGGCTGATCACATGTATCTTCACCGAAATGAGTAATATATCGCTGCCACGTCCAATTTTCACGCTGATTACTTGATTCCCACATAGTTCGAACTAGTTTTTTGTATAATATGACTCTTTTTTAATATTTGGTATGAATATTTGGTCATGTAACAATTGAAGCCTTCTAGTCATGTACTTGTTTACCGGATTCCTTTCCACTTGTATGAATGTAATATTTTCACAACTTCTCCAAATTATTTTGCTATAACAAATTAGTTGCATACAGGTTTTGAGATTCTTTATTACTGTGAAATATAAGAAAATCTCCATATTTACCTATTTAGATGCAAACTAGTTGAAAAAGTCATAATAATTTTGCTACAGTAATATGGAGCACAATTTTTGGCTACAGAAAAAAAAAATTTCGACGAGAATTTTTTTTAAATTATTAAAAAAAAATTTTTCGTAAAAAAAAATGCTACAGTAAAGTTTTTAAAAAACTTATACTGTAAGTTTTTTTTACAATTTCTATAGTATTTTACAGTAAAATTTTAGATAAACTTTCAAAAAATTCAGGTTCCAAACGGAGCCATATGTAAGCCATTTAGTAATTTTAGTTTCTAAATGAGATTAATGTTGATATTAAAATATGTTGCAATGCAGTTTCATTTAGTTGGATAAGGAGATAGGGACTGGCCGTGCCAGCGGATTTGCAGAAGGTAGTAGCATAGCCGCATAGGGTTGCATCAGCTTCTTGGGATTGGGTGCAAGTGGAGGATAGCGGATGTTTGGACCGGGAATGAGAGGTAGCAAGTGCAGCTGTGCAGGGCATGTTAATTGGGGAGGGTTTATGGCCTTGTTTGTCAAGTAAATTTTTAGTCAAGTTTATCTGTTATATATTTTTTAATAATTTTAAAAAATTTTTAAAAATTTTAAATTATATATTTTAAAATATCTAAAAATTTATATATTTTAAAATTTTTTTCTATGATTTTTACAGTAATCTACATTTAAAATTTGAGACAAACACCTAAAAAACTTACTTGTCAAACTAGACCTATATTTTGTTTTGTTTTTCAATTTTGGGTTAGCCACCTGCCACCTGGATGCCGTGTCATCCCTTATCAGCCAGCCACACCTTTTCGAGGTTTCGGATTTAGGCCCGGATAAATAAATGAATGAAAATTAGTCACTAGAGACTCGAACTTATCCAAAGCCAGTCAGTAATTTTAAAGGGTTAATTCCACTTTGTCCCTCCAAACTTTGAACGATTATCTATTTCAATCCCTAAACTTCAAAATGAGACACTTAAGTCCCTAAACTTATAAATACCTCCCAATTAAGGAAAATTGTTGACAGAATCCTGAATGCCGTTGGTGGTCGAAGTGTCCTATTTTATAAGTTTTAGGGACTTAAGTGTCCCATTTTAAAGTTTAGGGACTGAAGTGAGTAATCATCCAAAGTTTGGAGGTACAAAGTGAAATTACCCAATTTTAAAATACAAAGATAGCATAGCAAGAATTCTTTCTTATCTTTCATGATCAGAAACTACAAAAGAAAAAAAAAACTTCAATTATTCACCTCAGTTCTCAACGACTTCTGTGAAATTGTCAAGAGTCCCACGACTTGTTGAAATTTTAAACCAACCAAAGAGAATATAATTCATGAGATGTACAATTCGTAGTCGTATCTTTCAAAACTCACGAAAAATAGCCATTAAGGAGGTCATAGGGAGAAGAGAATCAAGAAACTGTGGCTCAAGAACCAAAAACTTCATCCGGCAAATACATTCTCAATCACTTGGCCCCTTTTTCATCAAGAATCGAAGCAATTAAGGATTGCTTTGTCAGTCACCATTCACTTTGCAAATGTTAGAAGGCGATGCCAAAATCATGGAAAGTGAAGAATTTCGGACAAGAGAAGCTATACTTGTAGCTTTTGGCACTCTAATCAGGGGACGGTTTGTGCAAATTGCTAGGGAACTGTTGGTTAGTTCTGAATATGCGTGTTATTTACCAATGGTAGACAGCCATGGCTTTCTCTTGGGTGTAAATTCTGCAAGCCGGACGAACCTCTTAGTGTTTGTGATATTGGCGATAACGGCTTTAACAATGATGACTTTTGTTACCTTCACGATTGCATGAATTGAATTTTTAGAGACGAATCCAGACACAATGATGAGTTGAACTCTTGAACTGTTGATTTTATTACAATTTATTGAGCTATTGCACTGGTTCCAAAAATATATTGAATTAGATTTTGATCGAGTTTTGATTCCACAGCAGAAATTTTTATTAATTTTATTTTTCACATCTATAGTATCTATCTGATAGTTCCATGGTAGAAATTTTTATTAATTTTTAATATCTATGGCATCGGCTGTCCTTTGGATTATTGTATTTCCTAGCTAAAATTCCTGTAGTATATTTAATTGAGGTAATCAATTTTGCTAAAGAGTTTTTGCTAAAAAAGTACTCTCTCCGTCCCAAAATTTGGGACGCTTTTTGGGAAATCGCACTTTTTATGTACAATAGCATTACGGGACAGGCTTATCTGACTCTTCCAAGCGTATCCTTTGCTGTTTGTGGAGTGAAACAACAAATTGGTGGGATCACTTGCCATTAAGTCATTTTGACTAAAAGGCAAAGACAATCAGAAGGGTATAACTTCCGATGATGTGTTGTGGTTGGGTCCATCAGAATTGGTTAGTGCAATCTTGACTTGTCAATAGAAGGGTATAACTGGAAAATAATTGTAAAAGTGATTTGACTTTTTCAAAGTGACTCAAATTTTGTGACAAAGCAAAAAATGGAAATATGACATTAACAATGAGACGGAGGGAGTATCAAAAGTTGCTCAAGAGAGTGGTCACTCTTTTCTTCTACCGTTCATAAAGCAAAATGAATCACTGAACACACGAGCATGTTTATAAACAGGAAGACTAACATTTGTTTATGATATGCCAAATCATTACCAAATACAATGCTACAGTATGCGCTACAGTGCATCGTTTGTTTTTTTGTTGTCGTGTTTGTACAGTAATTTGCCTGACTGCTACAGTGTTTTCGGTGTTACAGTAAAAATAATATATATATATATATTTATATATTTATATATAAAAGCTAATATCCAACTTGGGATACAATCCTATTATACCTAATGAACTCTTAAAAGAAAATCAACTTTACCACAGCCCATGAAGTTAAGAAGGGGTACAAAAAAATCATGAAGGAATGGAGGGAAAAAAAAATCTGATCGTATATGATTCAATTCACAATCGTTGCATATTTTGATCGAGTTCGTGTCTTTACCAACCCACCAAGTTCGGCTTGCAGCCTCAACACCTCTTCTTGAACCCTAGGATGTTCACCATTCAGCATCTTGGCCTTAGTGGACATATGCAACCTCGTCCTCCTCCAGCTCCTGCCTCAATTTGATAAACCTAGCACCATTAGAAAACAAGAAATTAAATGAGATTATCATGTCATTTAATCATTGATATTATGTATGTATTCGTATTCTTTGGTGGTAATTTAGGAATACAATACAATTATAAAGTAACTATTAAGTAATTGAATGTGTTAATTATTACAAGCAACTTAGTGCAATGTAATAAAATAGCACGTAACATTTGGTATTACTCGAAGGAAGAAAATAGAAGAATAATTATAAAAAAAAAGAAAAGAAAAGAAAAGAAGAATACCTATCCTTTTCCCTTTGTAGTTTTAGATAAGAAGCAAGGTACAAAGCTGTATCTCGAACTTCTTTTAGCATATCACAAGCTTCCTTTATTCCTTTGACGTGGGCTTCCACAATTTTTCCCTCCTTAGTTTCTTGCACAAATTTTTCCTCATCAAATCCTTCCAACTCGTTTTGTTCTTCCACATGATCAACTTCTTCCATCTTTTCTCAGTCACTCACTCCGTCTTATGTCTTGTCTTCTCACCTGAGTTCCTTGGTATTTGTTGCATATATAGACACTTGGAAAAATGATCGGTTTCATCCTTCACATTTCACAAAAATATTCTTTTCGTCCCTCACTTTTAAAACGAAGCAATTTCGTCCTTGACATTTAAAAACTGAAGTTATTACATCCCTGAACCCAAATTTCAATATGAATCAAACCATCAATCAACCTGATTACAAATCTTGGGAGTGTAATTGGTAGATCACTTGGTTATCTCAACTTGATATTCATGTAAAATTTAATGAACCTAAAAAGAAAAAATAAAAAATTATAACATAAAAAAGAAAAATTAATCTTTCATACATTATCATTGTATACACTGATGGTTTTATGTACCATCATATCATTTTAATTAAATTTAAACATCAAATTTTATATTTATGATACACATCTAGATTCGCAAGCGGATATACTAATAAGGCATGAAAAGATTTACCAAAAAAAAACTCTACTATTCCAATAGAAAGAATGGCCTTTTATGTTATAATTTTTATTTTTTTGGTTTAATAAATGTCATGTAAATATGATGAAGTTGACTGAGTGATCTGTCAATTCTATTTCCGAAATTTATTACTGGGTTATTGGATGGTTTGATTTAGATTGAAAATTAGGTTTAGAATGTAATAACTTTAATTTTTAAATGTCAGGGACAAATTTGCTTCATTTTAAAAGTGAGGAACGAAAAAATATTTTTACAAAATATAAAGGATGAAACAAGTCATTTTCCATAGACACTTTTATAGGAGCAGAGGGAAACAATTAAAAGTTTCCTAATGGGATTAGGAGATACCATATTTGACCGAAAAGGGTAAATTTTGTATTGGGCAAAGTCCAATTCCCATTTGGTTTCGTTTTCCTTTCTCACTCTTGATTTGGTGTTTCCTAATTGAGACAGATGCATGAATATGGTATACGCACTTTGGCTTGGGAGTTTCCTTCCATTCTCATTGCTAATTATGAAAGAAAGATGAACTTTTCTTTTAAGTATTTCGGCCATGAAAGAAGCACAGAGAAGAAGACGGCTAGAATAGGAAAATGCAACAAAAGTATTTTTTTTTTTTGACAAAGATATGAGTTTTAATTTTGAGAATCGATTAATTTTGTGGTATCCTAGATCATACTTTCTAAAAAATAAAGGGCAAATTCTACTTTACCCTCCTGTAGTTTAACATTTTTTTTTACATAATCTCCCTATAGTTTCAAAAATTATATATAACCCCCTCATAATTTGGATTAAAGTGTCAAAGTGATGGGAATGATTATTCTTGACGGAGTCACCTAAAATATCAAAAATACCTTTATGTAAAGTTGAAAATTATTTATTAACCAAGGGGGGTTATGTGTATATTTTAAAAATCATAAGGGGGTTAATGTATCATGTATTTATACAGGAATCCTAGATTAATGTTGAGAATCAATTAATTTTGTGGTATCCTAGATTATAGGAATTGATAAGAATCATACTTCAGAAAATATAAAATAAAGTCTTGTAACCTTGGGAACAGCAACAAATTCTTTAGCAATAAATACAGAAGTTGAACTCTTGACACTGATCAAACTCTTGGTATCCCAAAATTGTAGGAATTGATTAAAATTCACAACTCAGATAAAGGAATAAAAACCTGCAAAGCATCCATATAACAAACTTTAACAAATTAATAGCTAAAACAGTCCTTGAAATCTAGGTAACATATTGTCTGGGCTTCAGCAAAATCTTGCATGAATCTCACAAATATGACTATCAGCAGGGTAGCATCACAATTCACACCAACATCTACTTCACTTCTACACTTTCTCTGGCAGGAAAAATAGTCACCTTTATCACCACAGGTCTAGATTTGATCACCTCAAAGACACAGACATCTCCAGAACACAATTTGTGATCCCTACAAAAATAACACCATCCCTTGCTCAGACTTATAACCCTACCATATCTGACTATGACACCAACAGTCCACTTGTTTCCATCAGAATCCTGAAGTTCAACAGATTTTTTGTCAGTGCGCAGATAAGTGCTAGAAAATTCAGCTGGAACATGCACAATATAACAGCGGCCCAAATTGTACTCTTTCATTGTCAGTGAGAAGTACGGATTGTCTGATTTGAACAACCTTGTAACAACGTCGTGCTCCGAAATTTTCTTTCCTCTTCTTCTTGACCTCCTCCTGATCGAACGAGGGTTACCCGAATCAGTAGTTACATCGCGAATTTCTACTTCCTCGGTCTCTGAAGAAGACGAGATTTCTATGGGATGACGATCATCTGTTTTGGCAGAACAAAAAGCGTCGTGTTCGGGTTCGGGAACTGTAGTCTCTGCTACGGGATTGAACTTTTTACTGTTATTACTGCAGCATTGATAATCAATCTCTGTAGCAGTGAGATCAAATATGGCAACATCAAATTCTGAATTCCCGTTATATTTGAACCACAGAAAGTATCCAAATGTCAAAGAATGATGCTCGGCAAATCTTTGCCAACCATCACGGAGCCAGAGCATGTTCTCATCCTTCTCAATTCCAACACGAAATATGCCGCCAGATGGAACATTAAGCCTGACACTGGAGCAGATTTCGTCACCGTATTCTTTAACAAAGTTCTTGGGCAATCCCAATTGGCCTTCATCAACAACAGGCTGCGTAATTATCCGGTAGAAACTCGAGGCATCCGAACCCCGCCAGTCCCTGTTGTTCTCCATTGTTGACCCTTCTTGATTATCCGAATCTTCCATGTTAGCCAGAGAAGATCGAAGTTGAAGCCCAAAACATATAATCGAGGATAATCACCAGTCAACCTCAATATCAAAGTAAAAATCGAAAACGAAATCAAATTCAAGATGTTAAAAGGCAAGTAAGAATAAGGCTCATAGTTCAAATCAAAGAATAACTTTAAACTACCCGGAAAAATTTTCAGACTCAAAACATTCAAGAATCAGAGAATCAAGAGTAAAAATCAGAGAAACTAACCAATTGTATGCTGAAGGTAAACCAAAGTACAAGTAGGAAAAAAGATTATTGTTACCTTAGGCTATATATTGTAAACGTAGACCTCCAAAAGGCTGAAGTCCAATAGCTTTCTCCCTCTCACCAAGATTCAACCGCGCTGCCCTCTTTTTACTTTTTACCTTTTTTTTTTGGGTTATTTGGTTTTTTTTTTCCCTCTCAACATTCTCTTGCGTCTTGCGCTCGTCGTCTCCTTCTCTATTTATTGATTAGGACTTCGGATGTGAAAGTGACCCTTTTCCCAAATTCAGCGACCGCATTTATTCGAATTATTCTTACCCTTTGCTTTCCAAAATTAACCTATATAGGGCTTTCGTTCCAACCAAAAAAAAAAAAAAAGGAAAAAGAAAACTTTATTTTAGGTACAGGAATACACAGGATGATTTGATAGATAGGGAAGGCACAAGATAAGCACATAAAAAAAAATTAAAAATTAGGAATTCATCTACTCTAAGTAATTTTAAAAACACAATATGTCTAAAAGATAAATACACATGAAACTTTTGAAAATCAGAACACGAGATATCTTTTAATTTCTATCTTTTAGTTTGTATCGATCGTATTAGTTGTATATCACTTAGAGTAGAATTTTGTTTCATTTTTTTTTACCCCCTCACCTCTCCCTATACTTTTCTCACCCCCAATTAGGGTAGGATTTTTCAAAAAGTAATGTGTCCATCATAAGATTATAACGTAGCTCGTTCTAGCGTTGGCAGTAAAGATCAAAAAAATTTGGAAATAAAATAACACGAAAGCCAACTTTTATCGTGTGAGCGGTAAAGTTGAAAACAGCAAATATTTTTAATACTTTTGGGCATTGTTTGATTGAAGAAAAGGAAAAGAAAGAAAATAAGAGGATCCTAGTAGAAAAGAAAACAAAAGAGAATAGAGGAAAGGGATCCCATATATCATGTTTGGATTAAATACGAGATTAAAAGAAAAATAAATATTGAAAATGTTTTTTGGACTAGGGAAGGAAAATAAAAGAAATTATGCATTAGTAGATTTTTATCAACAATTTAAGAGTCTAATTTATAAACACATGTGCTTTTTAAGGAAAACTTAAAATTTTCATTAATTCCTTTCCTCTTCGTTTTCGTTTTAGTCCACTTTAGAGAGAGAGAGAGAGGGAGAGAGAGAGTTAACAAAAAATAACTAAACCTTATCCTCCTTTTCCTTCCCTATCATTTCCTTTCCTTCCTCAAAAACGAATCCAGACGTCAAAAATTTTTCTTCCTCCATTTCCTTTCTTTTCCCTTCTAACAAATAGCGACTTAAAGAATTACTTCTAACAACTTTATTCATGTGACACGTAATAGCACAATATTCATTTGATAAATATAAACATGCATAACTAACGCGATTCAGAGAAGGAATATAAAAATAAGTGTGACCGGCAGCATAACTTTTTAATGTAAAAGTACAATTCTGCGCCAAATGAAATTGTTTGCCAGCTGGACTGTTAAAGAGTTTAATTGGAAGTTAAACGCAACTTAATATTATCTGCTTTTGTCAAATTATAATTGTAGTCATGGCTAATACTTGTTACACAAATCAGTAGGAGCACAAATAGTAGTAATTTTTAAAAATTTTAAATGCCATCGTAAGTAATTTATTTTGGCCAGTGGAGACACATGCCCCAACTGGAATGTATATATGTTGATCCGCCACTATAAGTAGAGGTGACAAAATGGGTGATTTGGGCAGGTTTGAGTTGGGTAAAATGGGTAACGGGTATAAGTGAGTCAACCCATTTATATTCATTTAATTAGATGTGTATAAATGGGTAAGTCAAAAAATGAGTTGGGTAATCCAATTATCCATTTATAACCCATTTATTCTAATTTTTTACAAACTCATATAAATTTATTTTGTAAACTAAATTATCAATTTATGCCATTTTACACCCATCATTAATTTTTAATATTTACTTATTATGCCAAATAAGTCTAATTATCAATTTTTTTTCCATCCGCGTGCTATGTCGCAAAATTACATATTATTTAATAATTGACCAATGAGAATCTAAAAATTTTGACTAAACAATATGAAAGTTAACATAAAAATTTAATCCAAAACTTTGAACGCCTAGTATTTTTTCGTGTATAAATTTAAAATTTCATTTTGAAAAGGTAAGAAAGAAGGTTAAAATTTGTCATAAATTAGTGATGCTAAAAAATGATCAAATTAATAAATTACGAGGAAATAAAGCGATAAGACAAAACCAACAAAAAAATTTACTAAATAAAACAAAAATAGTTAACATAAAAAATAGTTAAAAATCCTGATGAGGATTAGCAATCACTTCATTTAGCATACAAGCAAAGATAAATTTTCAATAAATAGGAATAACTGATAGAACAGTGAAAGGTTACATGGCCAAAACTTCTTGCCAACCTTCAGTACCAGAATAAACAATAGCTACTTGAATTCCCACAAATTGGTAGACGAAATAAATACACTTACAATCCATGAAACTTTTACAAGTTAATACTCCTACCAAGGATTGTAACAAAAAGACTGGCAGCAGAAGCAGAATAAGTAAATGGAAATGATAGTACTTCAAATTTGCAACAAAAAATCCTCTTCTCAGTTTTCAAAATCCAGGTGGAGTCAATTCTATCAAAATACTTAACAAGCACTCAGCTTCTCAAGCTCCATACAACTGCATACACTGTTGGAATCCGCTGACAAGTTTGCTGTTGGCTCAACACAAAACAGAGAAGATTCCTGGCAACCAAAACCAAATTCAAAGTTCTGTTTTTTGCTACTTAAAATTTCATCTAGACAGAAAGATAAAATTCTTGTCACCACATTTCTAACAGTCCCCATTATCAAGACAATCAACAAAACAAAAATTTGCAGTCAGGCTTAGAATTGTGAAGTGTGAACGAACAGGGAAGGGTTGATACTGCAAAAGTCAACTCTAATGTACTAGCATATTTCCTTGTGCAGCTAAACAGAATTTACAAACAAACATCAGAAAATCCTTTCATTCTGAATCATAAATTTCAATGCAATAATTAAAAGCTTAAACAAAAGATAATTGCTCCTACCCTTCCTGCCTGACTTACTACTAGATGATACAATACAAGCATGAAATGATACCCTAAGCTCACACAGATTGTTCTTTCACTCCCATGCGGTACAAAATATTCAATGGTGTGACATTTTCCTCTAGAATATGCTTTAAGGATAACCAAAATAATTCAATGGCTTAGAAGCTGAAATCAAAAGTAAAGTTTTCTATTCTTAGATATCAAGGTTAACGCAGTGTATGTTGCACATTTTTAAGTGAAACTTTAGTACTAGTGCAATTAGAGAACCAATCAAGCAAAACTTTCCTTGAGCCAAAATCAGAATCTTTCCATTTCCCAGATAACCAGGCACAAATATAACCATGTCATAACAAGAAAGGCCGAGTAATACACAAGACACAAAATTCCATTCCACATTGTAGCTCAAACTCTATGTTGGGCTCTGAGAGAGTCAAACTCGGGGAGAATTTAACCATGAGTTAGAATGGGAACCACAACCATGGATTTGATACCACATCCAACCCAAAACCTTAAGGCATTGGGTCTATGGATCATTCCCACTTATATGTTCCTTATTCTACTCATCTCTTTCCGATGTGGGATATTGATTCACACTTGATATCCCAACAATCTCCCCCTCAATTGTGAATCTCTTCCACATCGGACCTCTCTCCCTAGCCCATCCACTCCATCAAACCCACTTCAATCTGGAGTGTACGATTTTTGCTCAAGAGCTCACATGCCCTTGCCTCATTGCAGGTTTGCATGATTTTTTTCCCGCTCTTATCTAAGCCACACCTTACCACTCCTACTGACTTTTTATCTCGGAATCACTGCCCAGCCGAACCTGGCTCTGATACCACTTGTTGGGCTCTGAGAGAGCCAAACTCGAGGAGAATTTAACCATGAGTTAGAACGGGAACCACAACCATGGGTTTGATACCACATCCAATCCAAAACTTTAAGGCATTGGGTCTATGAAAAATTCCCACTTAAGGCATTGGGTCTATGAAAAATTCCCACAATCATGGGATTGACACCACATCCAATCCAAAATCTTAAGGCATTGGGTCTATATTAGTGTGTATACTTGGTGGCTGGGTTGAAGTCTCTGCTGCAGTTTTGGCTATCTTGTATCTATTAGTATCTATCTATATTTGGTAGTTTTGATAATTGCACATAATTAGGTAAATTGGGGCTGAAGTCACGGGAGCCTGGGGTGCACATTGTACTTGTATATATAGAGTAGATGGCAATGAGAAAACCATGAAAACTTTTCCCAATTCTTTTGGTTTTACATGGTATCAGAGCCTTCTGGCTCTGAAACAATACCAAACCCCTAAACTATAAATCCTAGGACGATGACAGATCAAAAAGCTTCAAGTTTGAAGACCAATTCGTTGTTTTTATTGAGCGCGAATGACAACCCAGGCAATTTAATTACGCAGACACAATTCAAAGGACCAAACTATGAAGAATGGGCTAAGGCCATGAGAATTTCGTTGAGGGCAAAGAAGAAACAAGGTTTCATTGATGGCACCATTAAGGAGCCGAACTAGAACTCAGATGAAATTGATGATTGGTAGACAGTGAACTCCATGATTGTGTCATGGATCTTTAACACCATCGAACCAGGCTTGCGTTCCACGATTTCATACAAGGAAATGACAAGGGAATTATGGGATGATATCCAGCAGCGATTCTTTGTTCGTAATGGCACGCGAGTTCATCAATTGAAAACGGAGGTTGCAAATTGCAAACAAAACAGGGATTCGATCATGGCTTATTATGGTCGACTAAAGAAACTGTGGGATGATTTGAATGATTATGATCCGATGCCTACTTGTTCTTGTAATGGATGCAAGTGTAACTTCGTTACACGGCTTCAACAGCGTCAAGAGGAAGAGCGGGTGCATCAATTCCTCATGGGGCTTGATGAATCATCTTATAGTAATGTTCGTTCCAACATCATCACTTCAGACCCTCTTCCAAACCTTCATAGGGTTTATTCTCAAGTTACGGAGCAAGAACAAGTGCAGGTAATGACTGGAGCAGCTCCCAATCGGTCTGATCCGGTGAGCTTTGCCATGAAAACAGTTAGCCCAGGCCCTTGGAATTCAAGGGGGGACCGAAA